CTGTGAAAAATAAGACACATTTTTAGTTACTTTATTCAGACTTTTAGTTCAAAATCCAATTTCACACTTGAAATGCTTGAAAAATGCATTACATTTGAGTTAATTATAAAAATACACAAAATTCTGGACATTAAATTGTTTATAATTTAACAAAAATGATTTGTTGTGTTAATAATGAAGTCACGCAATAATTTGGATGTAATTGGGTTCACACGGAGACTGCTTAACCATTCACTCATAATTACAAATTTATGCAAACTTTTAATTTCATTTATGCTTATAATTAGTGCCAAAACTCGAAAATAATAGTAATTATCATAATAGAAATCAATTTGAAAATTGCTTGTTTAAATTTGAAACTTGACGTTTATTACATTTATTTTATTACAGGTATTATAATGGCATTCAATACAACTGATTAGTTTGAAAAAGTTTTCAATATAATTAGCTACTGTTTAGTGGTTTGAATAAGTTTTTAAAGTATAAATTGTTTGCAAAAGTATTTTCACTAATGATTCGTGTAATAAAATTGTGCAAGCTTAGGATACCTACAGTATGCCTATCCCTTGTAAGACATGTATGACCAAATTCCTGTTCAATAGTCTTAACATTTAATTATTCAATTTTATTACACGTTATAAATATTAACTTATTGTAAACCTTATATCAAAACTTTATATTGTATTTACTTACGATATAACTAAAACAAATAATACATAATGCATACAAATGTTTAGAAAACTTTTTCTATTTAATGATATTTTGACGATTATATCGCACTCTAAACCACTTTCAAACTAAAACTATAGTTTAGTAATAAAGCAAATACTAATTATATGGATCTAAACGCTGAGAGAGAGAGAGAGAGAGAGAGAGAGAGAGAGATTGGGCTGAAAGACCTGTTTTAAGCAATAGATTGCGATTTCTTACACTATTTTCTAGTAGTAGTCGACAACACATTTGGAAAACTTTTGATTTTTGAAAGTTATTAAAAAAGCTTTGACGGAATAAAAAATATTTTATGGCAAACATATCATAAAGTGCTTTCAATAAGTTTTTATTTAAGTTTATATAATATAGTGTTATATACAGTAGTGTTGAACAATTTTTAAATCAAGACATTTTCATTTGTTAATCTCGACGTTAAGGTCAATGAAATTGCTTTTTATATTTATATTTGTATTTGCTTTCAGCGATATATCAAATAGTAATTATCGACTCAAAAACATTTACTAAACTTTTTTTTGGTTATAACTTATACATCATTCAGATGTAAAAACTATTTGTGAAAAGTTTGTGTCGAAAATGTAGTTTGAAATCAATGTTCAAACAAATCAAACACTACTAGTATGTGATGGAAATGCCATTAATTTTTGACTTGTATTTTAAATATGATAAAAATTTTCCAATTTCAACAAATTAGAGTAATTTGTGATTAATGTTATGATTTATGATAAAATTAGTGCAATTATTATCATATATCAGCAATATTAGTGATTAATTTGCAAATTGATATTCAGTATACATTTCAGTGTACATACATGTGATTGAAATAGTGTTTCTAAACGTGACTTTATCTACACATTTATCTCATTACTATTTAAATTAAGTTTTTGTTATAAACTTTGTAGGTTTTTAAATGAATGTAAACTTTTTGTAATATATTTCTTACAGCAAATGAATTTTATGCAAAAATACTATTAGAATCACTATTCAATTGTTTAAGTGTTTTAGTATATTAATTAAGTTTTAACTTTTAATTCTTGAATGAAAAATGAAACTTGATTAAATTCATAAGTTACTTGAACAACTTCAACAAGATAATAACAATTCCAGTGATATTAAATGGTGGGCTGTTTAACAAAATCGGATAATTACCTACTTATAGTCACAATAAACTACATTATCTTATTGTAAGTATATTTAAATTATATCATTTGTGTCCAAATGTATGCATTTATTGGTTCGTATGATAGTTGGGTGCCATCAGTGGTAATGTCTTTGAGTGCAGACCTGATCTGCGACCGAATACCCGGCTTAACCCCAAAGCAACTCCAGATTTGTCACCGAATGCCCCAATCGTTGGCTATAATCAGTTCTGGAGTACGAATGGCAACCAATGAGTGTCAGCGACAGTTTCGGCACAAGAGGTGGAACTGTTCGGTCACTTCGGGACCCAATCTCTTCACACAAGTCATGTTCAGAGGTATGGCATACTATAGCATCAGTTATGTTCAATGAGTACTTGCTCGTGGAGTTGAGTATATTTAGTGCTTGGTCATTTATCAATGAACATCGTTTCCATTTAAAATTCTTATATCGTATGAGAATTTTTATTTATAATTAGCCGTCATTTCACTGAATATAAGACAAGAATTTGATTTCAAATTCAAGTCAATCACTCGTTTTATAACTTTATATAAAAGCCTGTGAGTGAGTGAGTGAGAGAGTGAGAGAGTGAGTGAGTGAGTGAGTGAGTGAGAGAGTGAGAGAGTGAGTGAGTGAGTGAGAGAGAGAGAGAGAGAGAGCTCTGAAAAAAACACAAATATTTATCATTTATTTTTATAGCTTTTAAATTACACTGCTTATCAATGTTATGTATAATTTAACAAGATTAATGGAATTTTCACTCCAATAGTATGTACGAAAACTACCCAGTACAGTATACTGTAAAGTCCACAGTGTAGACAAATTTCATACTGTATTAAGTTCTAAACACATGATGAATACATACTCATTGAATGCCCCCATAATAGGCAGTCGTGAGGCTTCGTACTCCTATGCCATCCGATCGGCTGGTGTTACGTATGCCGTGAGTGAAGCCTGTAGTCGAGGGTCGGTCTCCTTCTGTGGCTGTCATCGCATCCACAGCACCGGTAGCTCAGAGTCAGCATTGAATCGCGTAACAAACGATAGCTCATGGAAGTGGTCGGGCTGTACGACCAATGTTAGGTACGGCATACAAATGGCCCGCAGTTTTATGGATGATATGGATAACGGAGTGGACAGGGATGTCGGGCGTGCGCTCATGAATTTGCACAATAATAACGCCGGAAGGAAAGTATGTCTCAAAAACTACTTTCAAATACTTATTCAATTTGTTTATGGCTTACATTTCCATTGACCTACCAGTGCGTGAAAGACCTACTGATCTCCCGGTGTAAGTGTCACGGAGTGAGCGGTTCGTGTACTGCGCGCACGTGTTGGCACGTATTGCCCGCCTTTCATACCGTCGGTGACCGACTGGTCATGAAGTACAACAGCGCCCGACGGGTGGCCGTCCACTACCCTCATCGGAAGGGTAGGTCTCGTAAGCACAGACACTATGCACTAAAAGTGCGCCGAATAACAGTTAACGATCGCCGATCGCACCGACAGTTTACGCCTAAGCCCCGGGATTTAGTGTATTTCGATAAGTCAGTCAACTATTGTGATAAGAATCCCTTAATGGACTCCACGGGCACTCAGGGCCGGGCATGTAATAAGTCTAGTGATGGGGACGGTAGCTGCGAGTCTATGTGCTGCGGGAGGGGTTATCTAACTAATCAATATGTACGTACATGGAAGTGTAGGTGCCGGTTCCATTTTTGTTGTCAGGTCACTTGTACCCAGTGCTCCCAACCCTCCGAAATGTATGTTTGTAAATAGGCTTTTCACACCCACCCACATGTTAGTTAAAATAATGCCATTTGTTTATACAGTATCTGTATAATTTTTTATAAGTATTTTATATTTTT